CCCCACCCTCTCCAGGCTCCACCCCCCCCAAATCCCCACGTATTTCACAACCCAGAGCTGGTAGCCCTAGCCTGCGTACAGATCCACTTCTCTGCGATGTCCGCTCAGTCATCCATTTCCTGTTTGTTGTGTCCGCTGACCGCCACCAGAGGCCAGCGAATACTCCAGAGCTTGACTCTGGAGGAACAATGGGGACAAGGCTCCTGGTCTCTCCACGGGGGGGACCAATGGGAAGTTGGCGGTAGATTCAAACCCACCAACGGGAACAAGGGGGTGTCCCCATATGTGTATATAGTTGGCCCATGGGCCGTTTCCCTTTATCTTTGTTGTGTAGCCGTAAGCGTGCAGGATGATATGCAAACCGCAGCGGCCTTGCCATGCAGTTAACCCACTACACAATACTGTTGTTCACCCTTAAACTTCTTCCGGGTTCTTCTTTGCTCTCCCTGCCAGACTCCAGTCCTCTACGCCATGCTGGACCACAGCCGCCTCACCAAGTCCGCCAGCGAGAAGAAGTCCAAGGGAGGCCTGGGCGACTCCCGCAAGGATAGGAAATAGCGGTTAGCAGGCAGGGAAGGTACCCAGAAGAAGGCGGGCGAGAAGAAGAAGGTCGTCATGACCATCGAGGTGGAACTGAAGAAGGACCAGCTCGAGGCGGAAGGCCTCAAGCCCGCCGTCAAATCCCCAAGCAAGAGCAGCCTCAAAAACGCCCTCATGAACATCATCAAAAGCGATTCGGAAAAGTGATTTAGAACACCGGGAACATCCTAGCCCTTCATTTCCTGAGAAGAGGGGCCTGGGATCCTCCCCCCCCTCACGTTGCTTCGGTTCTCTGCCTGGCCTATCCAGTCAGGAGCTGAAGGGATTTTTGGTATGTTCCTGCCCGTGTCAGCTTGGTCTCCATCCCTCTCTCTTTCCTAACCTTGACAGAGAAACATCCACTGTATTATATGTAATGCAAAGCACAGGGCACCTACACACTTAACTCTATTAATAATCCCTGCACTTTGTGTATTCACAGAAGGAGGAGGCAAATTGAGGCTGGACCATCACTGGCAAGGAACCAACCTGTCGCCTCCCCATATTAGGAGCCTCTTTGTCTGCCTGACAAGTCAGGGGACAGCCAGGCCAGTCTTGGGGCACCCTTTCATCCAAGCTTTGCTAAGGTCAACATTTGAGGCCTTGCGTCACTGCCGCCCACAGCCTCTGAGGTGGACTACCGATGAACCCTGTGTGGTCCCAGTACCACCAAGGCCCTCATGTGGAAAA